GGGTGTGCGCCCAGCTCCATTTGGTGCTACTGGCCCCAGGTGCAGGGCGTGGGGTCACGGCCATGCCGGGGTCATTGCCCACTCTCACCCTCTGGTTCCTGCCCTCCAGGTGCCTTCATGTTCCCCTACTTCATCATGCTGGTGTTCTGTGGCATCCCCCTCTTCTTCATGGAGCTCTCCTTCGGGCAGTTCGCCAGCCAGGGCTGCCTCGGCGTCTGGAGGGTCAGCCCCATGTTCAAAGGTAAGGGGCTGCCCGTCCCCACCAGCACACGCTGGCACGGGGTGCCTGCAGGCACAGCCCCCAGCACGTGGTAGGCCCCCCCGCACACCCTGTGTGTCCCCTGCACACGCACCTCTGGCATGTTGCACAGCCCCACGCAGGCACCTGGGGCTTGCACAGCCCTGCACGCCTTGCACACACACACCTTGTACACACACCGCTGCCTGTGTTGCAGAGGTCCCCTGCATGCACACCCATCCTAGGCCACACTGCCCTGCACACACAGCCCACTTGGCATCCCCTGCACGCCATTACACGCGTCCCTGCACACACAATGCATCCCCTGTGCACACCCCAGCCCTGCACTGGCATCCGCTGCAGGCATTACACACACGTCCTTGTGCACATGCCACATGTGTGGCGTGTAGTGTCCCCGGTGCATCACCCTTGCAGAGGCCACTCAGGTCCTCTGAACGTGCTGCAGATGCCCATGGACCCTCCAGCTGTGGGCACACTCCTGCAGTCCTCTCCCTGCCCCATGGGTGCTGTGCCCACACACGTGGATGCTGGCCGTGCTCAGAGCTTGTCCTGCCATGGCTGGACCCTGCTCTGGGTGCACCTTGGTGTGCTCCCATGCTGCTGCTCCCCCCCTGGCACACACCTGCACACTGCCTGCCAAGTGACAAGCCTGCACGCATGGCAGCCCGTGCACAGATCCCTACGTGCTCTGCACCATGGCGTGTATGTCCCTGTGCTCGTGTGGCGTCAGTCACCTGCCACCAGGTAGCTGCAGCCTTAAGTCACCATGGCTATGCAAGGAGAGATCCCCACCCAGTGGTTCTCCAGGGCTGCAGACCCCAAGGTGCATTGCCACATGTCCCAGGGGACCCCCAGCACCACCAGGCTTGCTTGGAGGTAGAGGACCCCATGCAAGGTGGTGGGTTGAGCTGTGCGGTGCTCCCCAGCCCAGTGCAACAGCCAGGCCCCAAGCCGCAGCGTGGCTGCAAGGCTGCTGACAGCGCCACGTGCCGCCCACTCGCACCGCGACATGCAATGCCCGCACTGTGCTGCACTGTGCCGCTCACCCCTCCCTGGTGCTGTTCCCAGGTGTGGGCTACGGGATGATGGTGGTGTCCACATACATCGGGATCTACTACAACGTGGTGATCTGTATTGCCTTCTACTACTTCTTTGTGTCCATGACGCACGTGCTGCCCTGGACGTACTGCAGCAACGCCTGGAACACGCCTGACTGCACGGGGGTGCTGGACAGGAACCTCTCCGGCCGCGCTGCCCTCAACTTCACCGACTTCCTCAATGCCACCCAGAAGCGCACCAGCCCCAGCGAGGAGTACTGGAGGTACTGGGGACAGGGACGGGGGGTGGGGAAGGTGGTGGCGGCGGGGCCGCTCTGATGCCAGCTGTCCCCTGCGCAGGAGGTACGTGCTGGACCTGTCGGATGACATCGGGAACCTGGGAGAAGTGCGGCTGCCCCTC